TATATATATAAAAAAAGAGGACTGAAGCCTGCATTATTAACCTTTGCTAGCTGGCAGAATGAAGATTTAACAACCAACTCTTCTGTCAATCCCACAAGTCAATACTGCCTTGAACAGCGTAGCTGACACCTTTAGCAAGTGGACCAGGTGAGGCAGAGGAGCCAACACCATGAGCTTACCTACAATAGTGCTGAGACTGACAGAAACACAGAACTAAACTTGGTCAGCATCCTGTATATTTTTTTTTACTGTGTGGACAGACAATTACGTAGCGATGCTTGTACTGTGCTGTGTGACAAAGTAATTGTTTTTTATCAATTGAAGAGCTCACTTTCGGTATGTAAAGAGAATCTCATAATGGCTATGGATTAACACATCCTCATTTGTAAGGTCAGGAACTCCTTTAGACTCTAGTTATTTCTGGAACACACCACTTTAATAGACCACTGAAAGAGAAAATTGCCCACCTGCTAGCATGCTGACAACAGACAGAAGAATTTTCTCCACACTTTGTACTGGACTCCACCTCTCTGCACTGCTCTCGTAACCCATCGGGTCATCCCCTGGAGCATGGAGAATAGAGATGCATACTCTCCCATCCGGATATACTGCAAGAAAGAAACCACACACACAAGTCTACATATTAACCTGTTCTTACCCAGATACTGGTTGCTGATCTTTCAGAGAAATGTTGTACATATTAAGTGTTTTCTACAATACTCCCACCTATAACACCATCCTTGCCTTTTAACATGTATATTTGCTGCATTCATATGTTTTAAAAGGAATTTGGAACACTTTTAAAAGTTGTGGTTTTTTTTGAATTATGCAAAAGTGCTAATCTAAATGTAAAGAACAATCAACAGTATAGCGCGTACAGCCTCACGGTGTTAAACCCAACAGTGTGAATTGCAAACCCAAACGGTATTATGTGAAAAAAATTAAAAGTATAAAACACTTTTGCAAGAGTGGGATTATTTTCAACAGATCTGTACCACATATATCTAAAATCAAATGTGATAATAAAATATCTCCTAGTAAAAAACATGAACAGTGAACCACTTAGTATAATATGATCAAAGTGAATAATATATAATATATCCTCAAATAAATAAGTGAAACAAATGTCACAATAAAAACATAAGCAGTGAACCACTCAGTATAATATAATCAAAGTGAACAATACCATGTATCCTCAAATGGATCTGTGAAACAAAATGTCACAATAAAATGTGACTATTAAAATCTCCAAGCAGAAAACCCAAAGCAGTGAACTTTATATGATATACAGGTGAAACTCGAATAATTAGAATATCGTGCAAAGTTCATTTATTTCACTAATGCAACTTAAAAGGTGAAACTAATATATGGGATAGACTCATTACATGCAAAGCAAGATAATTCAAGCCGTGATTTGTCATAATTGTGATGATTATGGCTTACAGCTCATGAAAACCCCAAGAACCCCAAATCCACAACCTCAAAAAAGTAGATTATTACATGCAATCAATAAAACAAGGATTGTACATAGAACAATATCGGACCTCTGAAAAGTACAAGCATGCATATATACTCAGTACTTGGTTTGGGCCCCTTTTGCAGCACTTACTGCAATTACTTTTGCACGATATTCTAATTATTCGAGTTTCACCTGTAGAATAATCAAGGTAAGTGATATTCAATATATCATCTAATGGATAAGTTCAACAAATATCACAATAATAGCAAAACAATGTCATAAATTGATGTTTCCAAAAAATGTGTAGAAAAATGTGTGAAAAATGGGTGAAAAAGAAAAAAAATGTCTATAACAACCAATATGTTCAAATGGTGCGATCTCCCATTCTTCTTCCAATTACTTTAGATAATCCAAACAGTCAGAGTCAGAAGAAGAGAAAGTGTGTCCCATTCAGTGATACTTCGTGATGTAAAAGAAAGAAGTGCAGAAATCCCCTTTGGGCTTGTTCACACCAAGCGCGGAGCAGATCCAGACCAGAGCAGGTGCAGACCGGATCAAAACTGCGTCCAATGTATTCCTATGGTATTTTGACCTCCAGTTCACATCGCAGCGTGCGAATCCAGACCAGATCCAGAGCAGGTGAAAAAACTGCGGCAAGCCCTATTTTACCTGCTCTGGAACGCATCAAAAACGCAACGCAATGCAACCCAATGGGAAAAAATAACCATAAAGAAAAAAACCCTCTGTGGTCATCTGTCATGACCTAATCTTCCTTTGTTACTTCCTGTCTTTGGAAAAGGTGACCTTGTGAGCTGGAGAGCAAAGGAAAAATGGTGGACCAGTTTTGTGACCCAGAGAGATTCATAAGTATGGTTCAACAGTGCCCTGAGCTATATGACAGCAGACACTTTCAATATAAGAACAATAGAAAGAAGGCTGACCAGTGGAGTTTGATAGCAGGGAGAGTTTTCCCAGGATATAAGGATATGTCCTTGACAGATAAGGAGAGCTGTGGTGAGTACTTCAATGTGAATGGCATTGTATACTAGTAGTTCCTCAAATGCAGTATTCCATCCACCCCCCTTCCCCCCACCACTCCTCCTTATCACACTGCCCGTTTGCTCACTGACACCTGCAGCTGCTTTTCATGCAGCTTGTGTGGCTGTCTGTGATATTACATGTCATATGTATCCCCTTAGCAACACAATGGCGTAGCAGTATAATAACCATCAACAGGAGCATGCCTGCATCCCATGGATCCATGTTGCAACAATTTTACATGTGAAACAAGGTCAGAGGAAGCAGGAAATAATCGGAACAGCTAATGAAAGGTCAGAGGTAAAAGGAAATGACCACACAACCTTGTTAGCTTCCTGGGCAAAAAAAAAAGCGCGTCAAAAACGCATAGTGCGTGTGTAGAAACCTGACCGGATCTGGTCTGCATTTGGTGTGAACAATGCCTTAGGGTATGTACTCACCGCACCACAGATGTTTTCAGGCCGTGTACAGCACCGAAATGCAGGTAGCCGTTCGCCATCCTCTCTTTACAATCCTGACCTTCACAGGGTTCACTGCTGTCCCTATGTCAAACTTCCGTTCGACGCCAGGAAAGAAAAGGCAGTACTTCCATGGTGTAGTAAATTAGGATAATTTATTGAATAAAAAAGCGCTTAAAAAAAGTATAAAACGAAATTCCAAAAAGCCGGCCGGTCAGTCTAAAAACAGACTCAATGAGACTGAAGGTGTGACGTGACTGCAGGACCGCCCCCGACGCGTTTCGTCACAGACGGTTTCAAGGGTTGGCAAGACTTGAAAACGTCTATGTGTCTATGTAACGGAAGTTTGACATAGGAACAGCAGCGAACTCTGTGAAGGTCAGGATTGTGAAGCGGACGGCGAACGGCTACCTGCATCTTGGTGCTGTACACGGGCTGAAAACATCTGCGGTCCGGTGAGTACATACCCTAAAGGGGATTTCTGCGCTTCCTTCTTTTACATCACGAAGTATCACTGAATGGGACACACTTTCTCTTCTTCTGACTCTGACTGTTTGGATTATCTAGAGTAGGGCTGCAGCTAACGATTATTTTCATCATCGATTAGTTGGCTGATTATTAAGTTCGATTAATCGGTTAATTGGATAAAAAAAAAAAAAAAAGGCTCCAGTGATTGACGACTAGTTTGTGTTAAGATTGTACACATATTGGTTGTTATAGACATTTTTTTTCTTTTTCACAGATTTTTGTTTGACATTTGTTTCACTTATTTATTTGAGGATATATTATATATTATTCACTTTGATCATATTATACTAAGTGGTTCACTGTTCATGTTTTTTATTAGGAGATATTTTATTATCACATTTGATTTTAGATATATGTGGTACAGATCTGTTGAAAATAATCCCACTCTTGCAAAAGTATTTCATGCTTTTTATTTTTTCACATAATACCGTTTAGGTTTGCAATTCACACTGTTGGGTTTAACACCATGAGGCTGTAAGTGCTATACTGGTGATTGTTCTATGCGTAAGGCCTGAGTTGTAGCAGCTTCTAGCAAGTCCGGTTTTTCTTGTTTTTTTCGCCCATGAGCGCAGGTTTTTGTTATTCAATCTAAATGTAAAACCTGACTTTGGGGTATGGTTAATAATCTAGTCTCCTGATATAGCTGATGCCATTAGATGTGTTCTACAATTTCCATAGACCCTGCAGTTATCTCTATCTTAAAATCAGTCAGTAATGCACACAGAATGCTGGCCAGTACACCTACTCCTGCTCGGGAATGCCGATCTGTGGAGACAGATGCACTTCAATGCGCTGTATACATAAGGCTCTGCATTTACCATAAAGGTAAGGGCACTTTGTACGCATGTGATAAAGCATGTCTGCAAGTAATGGCAGCACTGGCTGCAAAGACTTACAAGGACATATCTATTGGGCAACTATGCAATGGGCCTTACTTTCTGCTTCCTTTATTGTAATGGGTTCATTCTGACCAACTATAATGCTACACAATACACTATCTAGCTTTTCCTGTTACTAATGTTCTCTCCATCATTATTCACCAAGAATGGTGACAATGTAACTTGGATTTTTAGAAAAGTCTTAACAAGCAGCTAAGTACATGACATAAACATCTCCATTCAATGAATGAGTGCTAAATCTTAAGTACAATTACTCATAGCAACCAATCAAGTTCACACAGCTGAAGTCAGATCAGGACAAGATGAATGCCAATTGGTTGTTAAACGTTAATACATTAAGAATAAGCACTTAAGAAATAGTACTTTATATCAAATGAAGCCAAAAGGGTCTAGTGAATAATGACTGTAATAAATCAGGAAGGTATAAGGCCGGATTACATTTCGTATGCCTCAATCCTGGTAAACTACCAAGAGAAAAATTAATCTCTTCAAGTACACATTACCAGGAAATAATATCAAGTATTATGATAATGGTGCCAATAAAAATGGTGAGGCAAAGACTGCATCCTTTGAGTATTAAACTAACCTTTCAAATGATCTCAAAATCCCAAGGATGTCCGCTCATAAACAGTAAGTACCCCAAAACCAATTTATACAATTCATTAGAGGATAAAAAGCTTCTGTTGATTTAATTACTTACTGTTTGGATGAAACATTTCACAGGTAAACCTCATTTTAGGAGGACTTAGTGGATAATCTAGGGGAAAGCTGAGGATTGCTGGGAATACCCCACACTCAAAACATGTGTCTTCTGGGCCCCTGAAGAGACAGGAAGAATAGACAACCTTTAAAAAGTGATTATGCACAAAGAATAAAAGTAAATGCGCAGGATGAAAAATAAGCTACACATAAACATGTTTTCCAGAACAGGTTGTAAAAAATAAATGTAAGCTTTCCATTCCAGGACTAAAATTTAACTGGCTAAGAGTGACCATAGCTGGGCAAGAAGACATGTGCCGTACTAGATGACATGTGCCATCTTGTGACCTGGCTAACAGGTAGATCATTTCTTTCCCTCTTCGAAGGTCCAGCTTCATGTCACAGAGATCTGTATGCAATTACAGTTTATTTTTGCCCTCTATGGCAACCCTAAATAGCCAGATCCACACCACAGTCATCAGTCTGCCACGTTGTGGTCAGAATCAGAATTATTATAGCCACTCTATGCGACTTAGTCCTTTAATAAACCATACTAGGGAAAGTAATTACTGAATGTGGACAACAAAAGTCTTAATGCCTACAGAGAGCTACAAAGGTGAATAGAGCTGCAATAACTAGAAGAGTATATGGGCAAACAATAATTGCATGGATGTGAGGACAGAACTGTTTTGTGAGAGATGCCAAATACACGACCAAAAATAAAATGTTCATAAACTGACACTTTGCTGTGCGTAATATTCATAACAGGCACATCAATTGTACCAATCTATAGCTTAGTCTGTTAAAATGTTAGCATCCCCCAAGGTATACTGCTATAGCATTATTATTATTACACTACAGGATTTATATAGCATCAACAGTTACAAAATGGGGGAGATAGTACAGTTACAATACAATTTTAGTACAATAGGTTTAGGAGGGCCCTGCTCGTGAGAGCTTACAATCTAATAGGAGTGTAACAACATTTTGCCAAGCCTGAAAATATTTTTCTAAGGGAGAAAGAGAGAATTACAAGAACAAATGTGCATCCTTTATAAGGTTCGTTTCTGCCTGCCCCTATTTCCTTGCTTCCCACTGTAAAACCAGGACAGGAAGTGAGGGGAAATCTTTCCAATGGAGACAGTGAGGTTTAATTCCTCTCTACTATCCAAAACTAAGCTTTGAAGTTCTGCCTGATCATGCACTCTCCCAACAACTAGACTACATAAGATTGTGCCATTCAACAAACCAGCAGGATCAGTTGTGCTATCCTCAGAAGATGCTGTGCTAACCAAAAGATTCTCTGTCACACTTATTTTGACCACCAAATTAGCCTTCATATGACCCCAGACACCTCTGGGGAGATACTTACACCTAAACGGTGTGAAAGTTGTGATGTAAGTGCAAAGTAACCAGCAGGCTCACAAATGCCTGCAGGGGACAATAGTTTTGCTTGACCTCTAAACATGCATACATACTTTTCAAACTGTAATTTAGATAAGGCGATGCCTGTTGTGTATTTGTAAGAGAAGTCAATGCTAGAATTGGCAGTTCTTGCTGCTAAAATAAAGAGTCTGATTTACCCAGTGACCTGAAAATAAATGCATATGAACAAAATATTTTAAATAGTTCTATGTCTCGCCTCTGTATTCAGGTGGTACCGTCAGGCAGAAGAACCTGAAATAAACTCACATATGCTGCATTGTACTAAAGAATATAATAGTATGTTCTATTATACAGTTAAGTTGAAAAAAGACACGTCCATCAAGTTCAACAACAAGACAAAAATAAATAAATGAAAAAACCTTGCACAAACAAAACGCTAAAGTGTGGTATACACAGTGAGAATTTCGAATGAAAGAAATTGATTTGGGAGCGTTTGTTCGACTTTCTAATTATTGATACGGTGAAATGAATCATTGGTTTCGACCGCAGTGACAAAATAATTAGAAGGAGCATGTTGGAAAATGTTTCTCGATCGAAAATCTAACAGTGAATGTGGTTTTCAGTCGGAAAACTCCATTCATTCCGAAAATAAATGTTAAATAAAAATCAAACGACATTCCGAAGGACAATAGCTAAGCCTGGCGGTATTATCGTACGTTCCGACGGGATTTTTTAATACGAACGTTGGTGTGAAAATCTACCTGTGTATACTCTACTTAAGGTCTCTATCACACGGGCTGATCAGGAGGGGATCCATGCACGGAGCATATGTCAAAGATGTGACATCCGTGTCCATCCACTTTTTCCCTCCATCTTGTGATGGAGGAAAGAACTAAAACTGCCGGACCCCATGTCAGTCTATGGAAAGTAGGAAGTAGACTAACACGTGTAGGGTCAGTTTTGTTTTTCCTGGACCAGGCCAGAGTTCTGGGTAACCAGGTTTAAACGGACATCCGGCTACCCATACACTAGCATTGGGTGTCTGATAAGGTCCACTTGAAAAACTGACAGGTGGACCAAACGCACTGCCTGTGTTAAAGGGGCCGAAATCTGCAGTTGGTCAGAGGAAAAGAAAAAAAATGAAAACAGGCGGGGAAAAAACATTCCTAATTCCCAATAACAACTAGATAAAGTTAGTTCTGCATAAGTGTTTTGAGTTATTCTCATATTCTGGTATTTTTGGATGGAAAAATCAATGGAAGTTTGCCCAATCGATACTGTCCCAGCACTGATATTCTGGAGCCAATCTCCGGCTCAGTATCCCCCGTTTTATTGAAATAAACTGATTTATAGAGAGTTCCGTCTACAGCTTGCTCTGAGGGTGGTCAGATCGTGAATGCAAAAATGATCACTCTCTCAATGTAATGGATGACCCCACACGTATTTACAAATGTTACACAACAAAGTTTTTTGAAGCTCTAGCATGTTTGAACAATTACGTTCATATCTATAAATAAACACTCTGAAGGCAATGTTTTCCCTATTCCATTAAAGAAAGAAATAATGATGTAAAGGAAAACAATCAAGTCAAAAAGATTTTCCCTGATCAAAATCCTAGGAATTTGTTTCTGTTTTAAGAATCCTAATCTCCAGGTGTGAAATCATTGCTCGGTGAATTAAGTCTATCTTTCATGTCAGAAACCCATTGAAGGTACAGTCCAGTTTCTTATACAACAAGTATAAAGGGCATAGGATGTTTTTCCCCCTAATAAAGCACCTTGTAGTTTCTGTTAAAAATATACACTTCAAAGACTTTAGCCTGATACTTGCCATTTTTTTTCCAAGGATGGGTAAAAAAACAAAACAACACAGCACAGGAAATCAAAGCATGCTGTAATGGCAAGGTCACGGCGCTCCTCTTAATAGTCAGGGTGTGTGAGGCTATAATTGAACTATCTGCCTGCAAGGCATGTCTTAAATGATACACGTCATACAAGCGGGTGGCAGCTGTTTGAAAGAGCTGGGGCAATCTTTTCAAGTGGACAGAGACTTCACATGAAATATTGACAAGTATCTACCATAATACTTGTCTGCTCTCTTGAGGAACAAAATGAATGCACAAAGTAATAGTTTGTGGTTATACACAGTGAAGGACCACAATAACAAAGGCTGCAATAAATGAAACTAATACTAATAAAGTTAACAAACATTAAAAACCAGATATGTAAAAATCAAACTGGCAATTGTACGTAAATATAAATTCCCAAATATTTTACCAGTTGTATATCACTTGTTCAGCTTAGTTCAAAGTTGAACTTAAAGGAGAACTATGGGGTTAGGGCTTTTCCCCATAGTTCTCCTTAGGGTAATGGGAGGACACAAACTATCGTCCTCCCGTCACCCTAAGCTCAGTATACCGCGAGCTACAGCTCACAGTATACTGAGACGCCGCAGCTGAAGCGGATCCCGACAATTATGTCTGGATCCGCCCAGCTGCGTGACTGACAGCTGGCTCTGCCTATCTAGAGGCAGACCCAGCTGTACCCACCCCCTCCCCCCAGTCAGCGCTGGCGGATCGGAGCGGGGGGAATCCAGCCCCTCCCCTGTCACGGCAGAGAGCTGTAACAGGATCGAGAGGTGAGCGAACGCCCGTATGTGTTCGCTCACTTCCCGATCTACTGAGCCGACCTGTGACACTCTCATTGCCACAGGTCGACTAGACCTATGAGGTGAGTGAAAATCACTCACCTCATAGCTCTCCTTAACTTTCATTTAAATATGTTCCTTAAAGGGTTTCTAAACCCTCAGCTTTTTTTGCATATATCTACTGCTAGCAAGCAGAAGATATATGCAAAAAGTTTATTTTTTAAACAAAAAACCCCGCTTTAACAGCGGTTTAAACTTACCTGTATTATCCCCGCACGCTCCCGTCCGAAAATTTGAAACTGCAGGGGTGGCCACAAAGGATCCTGGGGCAGGCGCATGCGCAGATTACATTTACGGCCGGAACACAAGGAGAGACACAAGGTAAGTATATGGACGCGTGTACCCGCATGCAGACACCGTAGGAGAGGAAGTGCCAGCAATCACAGAGGAGTCAGCGCTGGATCGGACACTGGCCGCAGCACTGGAGAGACAGCTGAAAACTACAGGAAAGAAGAAGATGATCGGATTAAGAGACATCATTTAAGGTAAGTGCTGACATTAACGTTGTGTTGAGGCAAAAACATTTTTGCCTTTAATGTCACTTTAACAGTAACAGAAATCCACCTTGTGTGCACCAAATACCTTTGCAAACGTAGATATTTACCTTGCAAAAGCAGCAGTGCTGCACATATTCTATACAGATAGCAGAGCTGTGGGAAGGACCCAGCAAATCCACCCACTACAGGCTGCCTATAGAAAACAGGAGGGGGGCGGATACAATGCAATATAACAGGAAACGGTTGAGCCTGAGGTCAGTCTGAAAATGATTTTGAAATAATATTTATTTGAAATATTCTATTTGAAGGAAACATGCTTTAAAGCAAAGACCAGATAATCACCAGCACAAACAAAATACAAGAATAGATCCTGGTTCTATCAATTGAGTCATCATTACAATTTGTCATAAAACACCAATATTTCGGGGCCACGTAGGGTCCAGTCTTCAGAGTGACATTGTGACGTGCTTTATTCTAGTGGGGGGAGGATTTTCCTGTGTAGAAACACTGGCCAGTAACCTCACTCAGGCAAATGTTGGCAGCCCCATTCTTGCCTGACATGGCAAATACCATGAATTAAAGCTCAAATGCAGTTAAATGTTTTCTATAGATAAAGTGAGGAAGGGTTAGAACTTCCGACAGGGTTTTTTTTTTTTTTGCTGTGTTCCCATTGTGGTGTTTTGCCTCTACTTCCTCTCCCAGGTATCACTGGAGCAGGAAGAGAAAGACTGCACATAGTGGGGGCACAGGCAATAAAATAAATCCTGGCCAAGGTTCTAATCCTTTCCCTTTCTCATGCTATTAGCCTTCCCCCACAGCCACCAAATAAGGGCCTCCAGCATCATGGAAGTTCAGCCTGTGTCATTAAACTTGCCATACCTGTTCTTAGGGGGTTAAAGGAGACTTCCACTGATGACCTCTCCATTTTCTTGGCTGCCATGCTAATTCACAGGCTTCAGTACTTTCTGAATTACTGCCCTGGAGCAAGAATGCTCCAGATAAGGTCAGGTAACTAGCATTTTCAGAAGGATGTCAGAAATGACAGCCCCTGCATTTTAGGTAAACCTTTCATGAGAGACACATTAGGGCTGTCATGGCTGAGTTGCCTTTGAGAATTCCAGTTGCTTTGCTGGATCTAGCTTCAATACTTTTGAGTCACAGGCCTTGAAGAAAATGCAGAAAATTTTGAGCGCCAAAGAAAATTCTTTAACAATAAACTTTGTTCCAGGTCAGTGGCTCAAAGTGTAGAAGATAAACATTGGCATGACAGCCATGCAAATAGCATTTCAGGAAGATACGTCTACAGTGGCAGGCTACATAAAATTCTCTCATTGCATGTGTACTAGAAGAGATCAAACAGGTTAGAAAACCTTGTCTTACTTCTATTTATTATCTCGGGGATAAGACAGCGCTAGCACTATCTGCTTCCTCCAAAGCTATGCCCTCTCTCTTGACTTTGTTGCTTAAAGCGAACCTTTATACCGTTCACTAAAAATCAAATCAGCATGCAGCTTTGTATACCGATTTGAAATCATCTTATATTCATTAGTTTTGCACTTAATTACAATTACTGTTTTTCCACTTTCTGGCTGCGTAAGGCACTGGCTATGTAGCCCTGGCCTCACAAATACATCCTGAGAAGGCAACATCACCAGTGCCTTCCTGGGAAATCTCATCTGTAAACTGCAAAATCTCACCAGATCTCAGGGGAAATGCATCCCCAGCCCACAATGGTGTGTATTGTCACATGAGTGACCCACATTTCCAGGAAGTAAAGGGGGATGGATTTATCTGTCCTTAGTGACAATGGCCACCGTAATAAGAATAATAAGGCATGTAGATAATAAAAAGCCTGTAGATTATAAGTATTTGTGCCTTCATTGTCATTTTTAAGATGTGTGAAGTTCCTCTTGTACTTCTAGGCAGGTCAGTTATTCCCTAAAACTCTCCAACACCGCTCTAGAGGACCCCTGTTGTTTCATTTGTTTTACTTACCTTTCTCCAGTCAGGAGAAATTCTTCTGTGAAATACGGCTCATTCCATCACCAACTTCCCAATCTTTGGCTTCCAGCGGTGTAGGAAGGAGGGATCTGCAGGACTACATAAGGAGGCACTGAGGAGACCGGTCATTCAGCACACAGCTAAAAGGCTAAGGTAACCGATCTATTCAACAGGAAATGTCATCCCCCAAGCTGACTATCTGTAACAATGAACAAATAGTTTCACAAATCAGAAGAACTTAAAGCTAAACTCCAGGAGAAGAAAGAACCCTTTACCCTTGCAGTGGGTGCCCAGAGTTCAGTTTTAATGGATCTTCCCATCTTTTTCTCAAAACAGAATTTGCCTGAGGGCTTGTTCACATGCGTTTGGGCTTTGCTGCCCATTTATTCCAGTGCAATCCAATAGTGTGCGCTAAAAAAGTACGGCGCGCAGTACTTTTTTTTAATAACACAGTGCGATTCGGCCCCATCAAGCACATCAGTACTGTCCTGGGACACGCACAGCCACTGGTGTAATCAAGCCCTTAATATGATCATACACATTTTTCCAGTTTTCAGGCCGTTCAAATCATCTCTGAATTTAATGCTGACACTGTCCTTCCTTCTGGAGGGTGGCTTCTTTTGGTCCCCATGGTCCCTGTGTGTGTTGCAAAGTAGTCACCGCTCCAAGCTCACTCCTGTGATGGACTACAATCTCAATACAAATAAGTAAACTAAATGTGAGATTGTATTCCATCACGGGAGCTAGTTTGGAGCGGCGGCTACTTTACAACACACACAGGGACCATGGGGAACAAAAGTAGCCACCCTCCAGAAGGAAGTACAGTGTCAGTATGAATTCAGAGATGATTTGAAGATCTACAGCCGAGTGATACACAAATAAGTTACATTTTTGTTAATAGTTAAGGTACTTGAATGCAATTTTAAGGATTACCTCCTGTATTTAGTGTCACTTTAATGAATTCCATGAATCTCCCCAGATCAGACATATCTACAAACACATATTTAGGTGATCGGAAAATCTCCATTTGTTTGGAAAATATATCTGCAAATCAATTTTCTCTATTTAGTTGTAATCTACATAAATAGTATGTAGTTTCTCTAATTTATAAGTGTAAGATCACACCTTAAGACCATAATGCATTCAAGATGACTAATGTACTATAGAAACGATTTTTTTTGCAAATTATTAACAATCCAAGTTACCACAAACAATTGAATGCTAAACACTGAGGATACAATAGATGCCTCTAATAAAATTATTGTTATTGAAGATATTAAAAATGTTTTTATTTCCCCACCCTGCAGTATTATACAGATGTTGGAGTGAAACCAGAAGTGAAAGATCAACATCAGATCCCGGCTAAGGGGAATTCCTAGGGGGAAGTCAGAGAGTAAAAAAACATAAATATAATTTTTACGAGCTTCAGACAAGCAGGTGAGAGCCGTACATAACCGCCAATCCCTCCAGTGCTGACATCGCCAACAACCCATAATACTTTCCCTGAGGTATGTAGGCACGCTCTGTTAGCAAATTACAGTCACAGTGTGAGAAAATGAAAGTGTATAGGGATTATTCCAAGACAAAGAATGTATCCACTTCAGTCCTGCATGCATTCACAAGAACGGAATGAAGCGTACAATAGCATTACTGTTCTGGTTAATAATACAGTGTATGTTATGAATTACTCACATGATTAGAGCTTCCCATTCAAAGAAGTTCTCTTCATTAATGGGGCCTGCAAGACAGTAATAATAATTATACATAAAGACTTTATCCAATCACAACACAAAGGAACTTTGAAAACTCAGTTTCTTAATTGTGCAACACGGTTAAAAGGAAACCGTTCAACATTTTCTATTTGTTGCAAATACTTTATCCCATCCCATCAACATTAGAGGTAAAGTATAGTGTATTTTCAGTGATCATATATTTTGAGTTGATGCCGTTTTAACAAAAAGCCTAACTGCAGGCAAAACGTATTTTTTTAAAGTTTGAAATAAACTTGGGAAAAGTAAAAAGTTACTACTCTCTACATCGGGGAGATTTCACATTCACAAGGGATTGGTCATCACCGGGACAGGAAGATATAGACAGTGATAATAACCTTGCAGAGATTTTTAACCTTCACAATTTGACTGAAAACTAAATCTGTTTTGTTGCAGTCTGTCTGCCTGCTGGAGAGATTTTCCATCAAGTCAGGTCCCAAGAAAATGAGGGGAAATCTCCCAATGGAACAGAGACCATCTAACATCCCCACTCTGGCCAAAGCCTTAACAAAAAGTTTGGGCTGCTGTTATTAAAAGCAATTTCTCATATGAGTTACCCTCTTTTACAACCATCCTCTGTGTATGTGTTGTATTAAAGCCCAACTCTGAGCAACGTTTTTTATATAAAATGGTCACCCGCCAGCAGTTTAAAGTTGAACTCCAGTAAAAAATAAATAAATGGGCGGGATACAGCACAAGTGGAATCTGTTACTGCTACTGAAGAATATCCTAGATCTGTCTGGCTGCTGTTTACTGTAGAACTGCAACATGTTTGGACACCGTATATTCCATACAGAGACAATCTTCCACTGCTGTGGCGATGAGAGATGAGTCTGTGACAGTGAAGAGACGTTCACTAGGGCTGCAACCAACTAATCGATTATAAGAATAGTTGTCACCTATTCTCATTATGGATTAGTTGGTCGGATCCCCTAGCTCTCGCCTCCATGCTGGGAGTAGGGCACAGCAAGCAGTGGGCGGGTATAATAGCCAGTCTGCTATTGCAATTTGAAATGGCCAATAACAGGCTGGCTATTGCACCAGCCCAGGAAAAAAAAAAATCAGCCAACTAATCGATTATGAAAATAATCCTTAGTTGCAGCCCTACTGTTCGTGCCCCAGAATACAAATTGTTCTACCAATGGACAAGGGGAGATCCTGTCATTCATCTTCCCTCATCTAGTCACAAAACTGAACATCCCCAGATCGTTAAAAATGTATCCATGAAAAGACCAGACTGATCTGACTCCTTGTAAACCAAAGTATGGGGTGGGTACAACTAGTAATACACAAAAGCATTGTGGGTAGTACTAGCCATCAAAATGGCTCTATAATGCCAAAAATTGTACTAGAAGTGTTCACTTATATGGGCTTCAATAACGATTTTAGTGTCTTGTTCGGATCACATCAGAGACCACTGGGCAGAAGGAATGCTAATTCTAGAAGCGGCAACAAGTGCAGCTGAAAGATATGTCTGCATCAGAAAATGCAGATAGTACAGGTTTTAAATTAAAATCTAGCTCTGTATATTAAAGGCAGGCTTGCAGGTTCTAAATAGACATAGCCAGGGTCATAATGGTGCTAACTAAGATTGGAGAAATACTGCCTCCAACTGCTAGTGATACTCAAAGCATATGACAAAGAAGTTTAGCAAGAATCACTGAAGCTGCTCTATGCTGATCACTACACCAACCTGTACTGTACTTTCACAGGGACAGCCAACAGTGAGTACATTAAAACGTTTTTTATCAAATTACTTTTGTCATACCTAATAGTTTCTAAAAAAAAAAAAAAAGCAAAGCAGTAGCAACTGTCAACCACAGCATTGTATTAAAATGGCTGGGGCTACCATCAGGGTTCAGAGCTGGAGCTGTCAGGGATCGCTAGGGGCCCTGCAATCAACCCAGCAGTTTGACCGATAAACCACTGGACTTCCTATTTTGCTACAGAACACACTCTGGCATTGTGTGCATACCCTAAAAGCTTTGGTAGCCATCTTTCAGCAGGGCAAAATTAAATATAGCTTTGCCCGTCTACTGCAAACCCATTTTTCTGCAATGGTGATCTACAGCAACAGATCCTTTAGAGCCCCCTTGCTGCAGAATCATCAAGAAACAGCTACCATTTTACATAATGGAATGCTCTCTTGCTAGCCAAAATGTTAAAGAATCTTTATTGTTAGCAAAAGAACAGTGACAGAGACAACTTGCTGGTTTGAAGAAGGCAAGTGAATTCTTAGGGAGCAATTAATAAAGAGTCTGAAACAAGCTTTGTCTCAACTGGAACACAGCCAATCAGATTTTAAGTTTTCATTTTCTAAGCTGTGTGGAAAAAATTAAACATAGAAGCTGACTGGTTGGTATATGCACCTGTACCAGTTCAGATAGAACCTCCCATAGAGCTCATTCACACCACAGCCCACATAAAGAGATGCAAAAAGGCATGCGTTTCTTATATTGTGCTGCGCTTTAATGTGCGTTATACTGCATTTTAAAATGTGTTCTTCTATGCAGGGCAACATCCAGGGTCAAAATTATTCTTTCTTTTTGTATTAGGATAAGCTGACATGCACTGACTACGTTGCATAAAAAAAAGCATACTTGCTGCATTTTTATGCAATGGCCCGCAAGTCACCTGTATAATGTGAACTGGACACATAGAAAACACTTGTTTTCTCAGTGTTCTTGCATTTGCTCCCCGTTAATAAAGGCAGGTCCACACAGCTCACCAGACATGGTGTGAACAAGCCCTAAAGCAGGGGTACTCCAGCTGTGATGAAACTATAAAATCCCATCATGCATCTTCCTCTGGGAGTCATGCCTGTGGCCTGGCAGAGTTTTGCAGTGCCTCATGGGACTTGTAATTACGCAACAGGTGGAGTGCCGAGGTTGCCAACCCCTGCACTAAACCATTCTGTTGCTGGCAAGTGGTCACCACACAGATGCTAGTGCAACAACACAGGCCTTATTTTGCCACCACTATGCCTCCCTAAAATGTTGTGTGTTGCTACTCAATCAAAATACAATGGACCCCCCATGAAAAATTGCACTCTGTATGGAATATTTTAGCGGCCTAGTGTACAGCATTAAGGGACAATCCGCATTCCACAATTAAAACTCTTATAAATTTGCACACAAGAGCTTGCTTTCATTGTATTACTATCACACAGCACACTAGATGTTGTTTTAACTTTCATTCTCAGTTCACAACTTAGAAAGTAAAAGCCGACACCAATATGTCAGTGAAGCCTAAGCATAATGCTAATCTTGGAAGTACAAGTCCTGTGGATGACATCTTAAAGATAAGTTTAGCAGTGAAAACTTCCCTGCCACAATCCCCTCTGGTGGGTTTAATGTCAGTTCTGAAAAAAAAAAAAAAAAGTAAATTAGTCCAGTGGTGAGTCCTTATTGATGTGAAAAGTAAAACATATTTCTGTTGACTTTAGACTGGTGTCCTCAAACATTAGTTAATAGTTGAATGTATGTATGTCTGTCTAGCCCGTAGCAACCAAATTCAGTCCCTTATTCTCTGTGATTTGTGTAGATGTGCATTAGAGTTAAGTGTCATTTTTATTATTTATAATTAGGGATACTATCTTTGAATTCTATAGTATGCTGGCTTTCATATGTAAAAGCCTTTAAAGTGACGCTGTCGCAAAATTAAAAAGCAGGAAAGAAAATATCAGTGGTGCATGCAAGTATAATATCGTTTTATTTTACAAGGAAATATTCTTCTTTACTTCTTAATTTTGTGACAATCCTAAAACACATTTTATAGGTGCCCATGCAAAATAGCCAGATATGGCTTGATAAAGACCTTATATTATATGTATCACTTGCCCCTCCCTTTTAGATTGTAAGCCCTCAGGGGCAGGGCCCTCCTTACCATCTTGTCTTGAATTTGTATTGTGATTGTAATGTCTTCTTCAGGTCCTCCTCTATTGACTGACAGCAAGCAGTGGGCGGGTGGAATAGCCAGCCTGCTATTGCAATTTAGAATGTCCAAGAGCAGGTTGGCTATTGTTTCCAGCCGCTGATAGGAGACTTGACGCCGGTGTTTTATCAATCCCTCGGACTCGAGTCCGTGGGATTGATAGATCACCGGCAAAAGAGGCGGCATGGGGCAACATGAAGGAAACGGGGCGGGCAGAGGAGGAACGGGGCGGGCAGCGGAGTAACTGGGGGCAGAGAAGGAACGGGGCAGCAGTGGAGGTACGGGGGAATGCAGAGGCACCGCAGTCTCTCCTTCCGCGGGTGCCGGCTGCAGTGGTCTGTGTCCCCGCTGCCTCTGCCCGATACAGGCGGGGGAGCAGCGGGGATTGAAAGGGACACAGACCGCTGCAGCCAGCACCAGCGGGGAGGAGAACTGAGGAGCAGAGTGGGGGAGGGGGATTTAACTAATCGAAAATAAACAAACTGATAATGAGAATCGTTGCCAACGATTCTTATTATCGATTATAACCAATTTGATCAATTAGTTGTTTCAGCCCTACAAGTTTTTAAAATGCCCACGTATGGATAAGTCTTTGTCACCATGGTTAGAAAAAAAAAGAACATACAAGTACATAGAGAGAAAAAAAACCCTAGCATACTGTATAATTTTTCTATACATACTGCAGTTTGTGGAAGCACAGAAGAAAGAATGTTGTCATACAATGTCTCGCTTGATAATGAGCTGGCACAGAACACTGAGATTTCAAAGACCTGAGCCTGCTCTCTTACCCACATCCCATTTATAATTACTATTTTGAAGTTGTGCCTTGTTTACATCCATTATTAGTGGAGGGGCTTTGTGCTCATGTGGTTTCTAACCTTCAAACCTTCGCCCTGCATCTTTGAAGTTTAGAGATGTCGTGACTTACCGTAATAGCCGGGATACTAAAGAATGGATAAACTCATAAGACAAGTGGTGGAGTCAGCTGTTTGTGACTCAGCTGCAGGACATAAGTGTCAGACCTCTGACTCAGAGGGTGCACTGCAACAAGGCTGGACAGTTACAAATGGAACCAAGCTTATACCAGATGGAAGTCTTTAGATATAAAGCAGCAGCCCGTGACAGACAGCTGACCTAAAAGTAACAATCAGTCTGAGTCAGGTCTTTAATTATAAGGGGCTGCATTAGCAAATCTATGCTCTCCTTTGTAAAAACAACTTCTACAAGGGTAAAAGGAGCCTTCCTCATTCATAACTGTGTAGCTGTACAAACACTGGATAACATAAAAGAAAAACAAGAAATGCAAGATAAGGATTCATGAAAGGACAGAATAACCTGTTTAAGAGAAGTGGATAGTGGTTTTGTACACATCCTCTATCTTTATTATGATCAGGGTTCAGTTTGGTAATTATGAAATCGTAAACATTAAAGTGTATGCCAAGATAAAACCTTTTTTTGTCTAGTTTTAGATCAAGTGGGGAATCTGGGGCTCCACTAGAGAGATTTACCCCCACTTCCTGCACTGCTGACAATAGTTTCACCGCACAGGTAGTGAGGAAACACCTGATATACCGACAGAAAAAAAATATCTAGGAGAATTGAAGAACTGAGCTCTGGCTATAGTCTGTATATAGTAATAATAGTAGGCTACTCACTAAATAACTTAGAGATATCACAGAGTAGTCTAGTGATGCACCGATACCAAGTACCGTACTCGGTACAAGGACAGATACTTTTCCAGCTCCAAGACTAGACTAGAGAAAAACTAAAAAGTTAGGAGGCAGCTGTCATTTGTATGGAGCACACGGAGCTCCTGGGATTTGTACATCTCTGTTTTAATGTATGATTTTGTTTTTACAAATACGGTATATATAAGGGATGCACCGATACCATTTTTGCGAGTACGAGTACTGATACTTGTCCAAGCACTCATAGATACAAGTATATTTTGTTTTTTTGTCATGTGACAGTTTTTCTAAAACAATACAGACTAATGATTTCAGGACAGTGGTAGGGCGACAGAGCCCGGTCCCAGCTGCAACCCCGGTAGTTCTCGTGAAAATGCCCAGTATCAACGTATAAGTTGATAGCTTGCATATATTTATATTTAAATTTTTTATGGAAATATAAGTTTAAAGTTTATTACTATCAAATATGTTTCTTATTAGATCTTGATGAAGGAGACACATATCCCCAAAACACATTGGATTTCCTGGAAACTTCAATAAACATTCCAGCTTTATAAAGATTGCTGAGATATAGTATGTCTCTTTGGACCTAGGCACTGCCTCTCCTGAGTGAGTAGAGCATTCACATTTTGTTTTAACGTCAAAAATAAAACTCAGACAGGGGTTCTAGACTTCCTCTACTAAAGAAAAGTAACTTCTTTTTTCTGTCTGTGTTGCCATTGGAGAGATTGCTTGAGTCGAACTAATTCCTCCATGAGACCCATACGACCAGGTGTGGGTGGGAGGCGCTGTGCAATACAGCGTCCACAGTTTTTTGCGTGTAATCGCAACATGCTGCGATTACCTGCAGATGATCTCAATCAGTCAGCGTCCAAGTCCGGTTTTTATCCGTAAAGAGGTTTATAAAAATCTTGCTGAAATAAAATAGATAAATAAACCTAGTATGGCTATATACATTGCGGCACCAGTACCTGACACTTCAACATCAAGGCCAGACTAGGATGAATCAACTATTGCTATGTTGGAAGCAGCAGTGCTTTTGTAAAGTTTTGGATAAAAGGCATTCCAATTAGAGAGGTTGGACTTGAAACTGGTTACGTCATAAGCTTACTAGATTCAAAACATCTTCTTAGAACATTCTAATCCTCCACCAGAAGATTCTTTGTGATCTTAAGGCTCCAACCTCACTATTTCCAGCCCCCACCTTTCTGCAGCTAGAAAATCTAGTCACAAGGATCCATAGGGAGTGTTCTTAGTTTCACATTAACTTAGTAATGTAAAGGTGCCCATGCACTGCACGATTCTCGTACGAGAATCGCGGGAAATCCCTCGATCGTACGAGAATCGTGCAGTGTGAATGAAGACGTGCGACCGGTTCTACTGTACGGTCGCACGTCTTTTGTCTAAGGAGCATGCTGGAAAACCATTTTCCAGCCGAAAATCTTAGGATTTTCGGCTGGTTTGAATGGTGCTCGGGAGACAAATGCCGAACGGGCCGGTGTGCGCACGCGCACACTGCCCGTTCAGCATTGTGGTCATCGGAAGCCCGCCCCTCAGGAAACGTGCATATTCGATACACCTAGGTGTGAACCCAGCCTTAGGTCTTGCGATGGTTGTAAAGTGTATGGCCACCTTTACCTTGTGTACTGGGCTTGTAGCACACCTGTCATTTAATAGTTAAAGTGAATGTTTTAGAGCTGCAGCTAACGATTATTTTCAAAATCGATTAGTTAGCCGATTATTAAGTTCGATTAATCGGTTAATCGGATAATCTTCCGCAATAAAAGTTTTTTACTTTCCTGTTTGCAAAATTCTTTACAGTGTCCAATGAGATGTGTGAGTTACGTCATTCCGGCCCGGGCACTCAAGATGGCTAAAGATCCCAAATCCAAAAGAAGACTAGACAAAATGTCAGTGCTGGCCAAGGAGCTCACAAACATTGCATTGCTGGAGAGGAGCCGAGTATTTTTTGGACTTTAATTCAGCCGCAACACTGTGAAAGAGGCCAGTTCAGAAGCTTGACACTTCCACCGCTTTTTCCCCCAATTTAAAAGAGATGTACAGCCAAACTTTTTTTGGCTTTCTCTTTTGGGTCACAGGAGTATATTTACTACCGCCTCTGTATGCTGGCTGCACAGAGCCAAACTGCAGCCAGCAACGATTCTGACACCCGGCTGCCTGATTGACAGCTGGCTCTGACTCTCTAGCGCTAGGGTCAACTGAGCCCACCCCCTCTCCTGTCTGTCCCTCCAATGAGAGTGCAGGGGAAACAGAAAGGGCAGCGGAAATCCCTGCATGGAGTGGTGACTGATAGTCACTGCTCTTTGCAAGGTGGTGAGTGATCAGAAGTTACATGATCACTCAGCCCTTGCCATATAGAGTCAGCATGTGACAACTGTAGTGTCCCACACCTGATCTAAATATTGGGAAGAGCACACTTTATTCACCCAATACTTTTCCTTTAAAGAAGAACTACAGAAATTGTTTTATTAATCCTTGCAGTGGGGCTACCCCTGCACTGCAAGGGTCAAGTGCTCGATTGAGTCTAGGTTAAAAAATAAATAAAGTTAGACTCACCCGAAGCTCTGAGCCGGCTTCTTCTTAGACTGCTCCTTCCAACGTCTCTCCCCCTCCTCTGTAGCGCTATAAGGTCCCGTAAATCATTGCCTATACACAGTCTATAGATATGAGGCACTGAAGAAGATTCCAATACTGCAGGAAGGGGGAGACAGGC